TTTCTCTAATTTCTCTTTCTACAGTTGCATTGTTAGTGTATAAGAAAGCAACTGATTTCTGTGCATTGATTTTGTATCCTGCCACATTATTGAATTGCTGTATGAGTTCTAGTAATTTGGGGGTGGAGTCTTTTGGGTTTTCCACGTAAAGTACCATGTCATCTGCGAAAAGAGAGAGTTTGACTTCTTTGCCAATTTGAATACATTTTATTTCTTTTTGTGGTCTGATTGCTGTTGCTAGGACTTATAGTACTATGTTGAACAATAGTGGCGAGAGTGGGCATCCTTGACATGTTTCTGATCTTAAGGGAAAGGCTCTCAGCTTTTCCCCATTGAGGATAATATTCACTGTGGGTTTTTCACGGATGGATTTTATGAACTTGAGGAATGTTCCCTCTATCCTTATACTCTGAAGAGTTTTAATCAGGAAAGGATGCTGTAGGTTGTATCTTTATTTCCCACCTTGCCAGTTACCTCTCAGCATTCGGTATTACATGCAAAGGTGATGTTATGTGCATAAATATTGCTCAAGTTTGGAAGACCATAAGGATTGGGTTCAAGGCTTCTAGCCACACACAGTTCCCCATTTTTCTATTAAATTAGGGCATGTGGGATATACAGTATTGAGGAGGCATTAAATGTCTTTGACTTCCATATTTTGTCTTATACCCTGGACCTAGACTGATTTCTAGAAGGCTTGTCCAGGAAACTTTTTCGAATTGGCAGCAGCACTCCTCACTTGAAACCCTTTTCATCATGGGTGTTTTGTGACAGGAAGTAGACACCGTAAACTGCGAGGTGCAGCAGATTGCTTAATCAAAATATATGGACACTGAGGCCCAGAGTGAGACAAAGGAGAGAACCAGAACCTGAGGTTGTAGAATCCCAGAAGCTGGAGAGAGAATTCTCTGCTGATCAAAAAGAAAAAAAGTTTTTCATCTAAATGAAATATTGTGGACTGGAAAAATGACTACCTGTTTGTCGTGAGAAATGCATCCAGCCTTACAATTGCAAACTTTAATGGGTTTTGTTTGTTAAAGATTTAGGCCAAGAGGAATTGATAATGAGAGCGAGACAAAGGTCTGAAAAGGAAAACAATCATTGGGCTTGTATTTAATCACTTCGTATTTTCTCAGACCTCAGTCATGTCATTATCTGGCTGTGGTGCTTACAGAACTTAATTAGGGGAGTTGAGGCAGCAGTGGGAATAGGAGGCCAAAATAAAAGGGTAACAGTTTAAACGGATCACCAGCAGGTGCCTGGTGTGGACGGAGATGAAGCCATTTAAGAACCTAATTGTAGAAGAAGCTCTTGACATTGATCATTTGTGAAAAGGAGATTTTTCTTTTCTTACATACGTGGTTTTGTACACTTACGTCTACAAACCTTCAACACCAGTACGTCTGATCATCAGCTTGTGGAATTACTAACACCAATCCACTTTGAAGGAGCATACAAGGTTATTAACTTTGGCAGGAAATGAAAATTTGGCTTTACTATACATGTGAAATTGAATTATCTGTGGCACAAAGCTTTGGAGATTACCCATGCAAAATGAGAAAACTATCTAAATTTAAAATTGTCCTCAGTACAGTGAAAAGTAATTTTGCAGACTGCGTTTTTACTGCACTGAAATCCATGAAGAGATGGGCTCTATTAATTTAGATTTAAACAGAGACTCTGTATCTTCTAAAAATGGTAAATGAGATGGAAAATGTACTTTAAGGGGAGAAATGAGTTTCTGGAAATGCTGCAGGCAGGCAGGTTCTCTACTCCACATCTCGGAGTCCGCCCTGAGACCAGTCGGCTTCAGAGGGGAGGCTCTATCTACTGTGACAGGCATTTGGAATAAGGACATTCAGACAACACCTCAATTATATATATAGCAGGCTTCAAGAGCAGGATAAGAAGCAAATCGAGTACGGCCCAAAGCAAAAGTTATTGGCAGTTTTTACACCATAATTCCTAAAGTGGCCAGGTCCTTGGCAGAGGGAAAAAAAAAATTAAGGAGGGATTGAATTTATTTTCTCAGATTTCACTACCTCACAGTAGTTTTCTTATAATCTCTGCCTGGAAAGATACTGGAGTAGGGAATTTGGTTACTCTACCTACCTTCTCACTCAAAAACTTAACTTCTTTATAAAGAGAAATTGAGTTTTTCACTCCCTAGTCTTTACATTTTTTTTAGCTCACAAGAACAAATATTACTTGTTTATTGATTAAAGTAAATGATTATTTGTTAAATAAACAGATGACTGTTTAGAACCATGGTTTTAATAACCTGTCATGTAACCATCAAGAATAATACATGAACACACAAGAGCCAGAGGGACAAGGATTCATAATAAACTTAGGTTAGAGTTCTCCAGGGGTCTCAGAGTGTCTCTTCTTTACAGTTGCAGTGATGAAGAAACAGAGTGAGTGCCTGTGTCTGGTTCTTAGAGCTGCTCGGTAGTAAAGCTGTGTCTAGAACTAAGGTCATCTGAACTTACGCATAGTTTACATATGTGTTAGGGTTTATCAACAATCAACACTGCGGAGTTGGCAACAAACCAAAGTAATGCAGTCAGCAGCCCATTCCTCATCTTCATGTGATTTTCTTTCTGCTTCTCAGGTATCGCTCTGCTTTACTTACATCTCTATGATGTGTTCGGGGACCCCGCTTACCTCCAGATGGCACACGGCTACGTAAAGCGAAGTCTGAACAGTCTGACCAAGCGCTCCATCACCTTCCTGTGTGGGGACGCAGGCCCCCTGGCGGTGGGCGCCGTGGTGTACCACAGGATGAACAGTGAGAAGCAGGCAGAAGACTGCATCACCCGGTAATCACGTTTCTTTTCGAGGATTATTATTGAGACGTCATTACATATTCATTCTGTATGTGTATTAGCAAAAGAACATTTTAGTGAAGTTACTTTTCCCTCAGCAGTAAATCTCACTACTGTCATTTGATCACGTCACACCTCATTCCGATGTAGTTAAGGAACAACCAGTAAAATTCCCTATTTTATTGTAAGATGTCATGACACTGAGGGGCGCCTGGGTGGCTCAGTTGGTTAAGCGACTGCCTTCAGCTCGGGTCATGATCCTGGAGTCCCGGGATCGAGTCCCGCATCGGGCTCCCTGCTGGTTGGGGGGAGTCTGCTTCTCCCTCTGACCCTCTTCCCTCTTGTGCTCTCTGTTTCTCATTCTCTGTCTCTCAAATAAATAAATGAAATCTTTAAAAAAAAAAAAAAGATGTCATGACACTGACCCACACCAGATCAAACATCAGTTTAATAACAAAAATGAGATCAGAAGCCTAATCCTGGGATTACTAATCCAAGGTGCTATCCAAGATCAATAATTTGAAAAATGTGGTTCATTTCCTGTGATGGGCTGGGAAAGGCCTCCTCATGGACTACAGACTGACTCAAAATTGCTTTTCTTAGGAGCCAATAACATGCAAATCCAGATTTTTATTTTTAATAGAGATCGGGGAAGCCCACTAGAAGCTTGTGAATTATGAAGAATTACTAAACTTGTGTACTAATAAACTACAATTATTGTTTTACTAGAGTTTATTGAGCACAAAGAATTCTGTTCAGAATTCTGGCAGCCATGCAACTCTGCATGCAGTGCTGTTAGGCTCCCACTGAGTGTGTCCACATGCAGAGAGTTGCAATTCCAGCAAAGGCTTTTGGTTGTGTTTCGTTATTTAATAGCCTTTACTTTTTAGAGCAATTTTCAGTTCACAGAAAAATTGAGAGGAAGGTACAGAGATTTCCCATATACATGCATAGCCTCCCCCATTATCAACACTCCCCCCTGGAGTGATACACTTGTTACAATGGACAGGCATATATCACCCGAAGTCCATGGTTTGTATTAGTTACATTAGTTGCATCTTGGTGTTGTGCATTTTGTGGGTTTGGACAAATGTATAGTGACATGTGTCCATCATTATATTGTCATACAGAGTAGTTTCCCTGCCCCAAAAATCCACTGTGCTCCACCTGTTAATCCCTCTTCCCTGCTCCCTGACCCCTGGCTACTGTTGATCATTTTACTGTCTCCGTAGTTTTGCCTTTTCCAGAATGTCATAGTTGGAAATATTACAATATGTAGTCTTTTCAGATTGGCTTCTTTCACTGAGCGATACGTATTTAAGGCTCCTCCATGTCTTTTCATGGTATGTTAGCTCATTTCTTTTTAGCACTGAGTAAAATTCCGCTGTCTGGATGTACCATAGTTTATCCATTCACCTACTGAAGGACATCTTGGTTGCTTTCAAGTTTTGGCAGTTATGAATAAAGCTAATGTAAACATCCAGTTCTGCAGGGTTTCGTGCAGATGTAAGCGTACAGCTCCTTTGAGTAAATATCAAGGAGTACAATTGCTGGATTATATTGTAAGGGTATGTTTAGTTTTGTAAGAATTTCCAAACTATCTTCCAGAGTGGCTGTACCATTTTGTATTCCCACAAGCAATGAATGAAAGTTCCTCGTGCTCCACATCCTTGCCAGGGTTCCAGATTTTGGCCATTCTAGTAGATGTGTAGTGGTATCTCGTTGTTTTAATTTGCATTTCCCTGATGACGTATGATGTGGAGCATCTTTTTATATACTCCCTTGCCATTAGTATTGCTTCTTTGGTGAAGTGTCTGTTAAGGTCTTTCACCCATTTTTTAATTGGGTCCAGCAACATTTTAATCAGTGATTATCTCCAGTTTGACCATGGTTTTTGATTCCCACTACTTTTTCTTATAAATTACTATTAGAATGGCATTTTCATCACTGATTTTGTTTGTGGAGGATCTTTGGTAAATTTTACACTGTACAGTGGTGTGTATTTCATTAACAGGCTTTTGGCCTAAAATTCTAGTAACTAGAGTTTTTTCTCCCCCTCAAAATTTTATTATGAAAAATTTCAAACATACAGAAATGTTGAAACAGTAGTGAATACCTATATATCTACCCACATAGATTCTACCATTAACATTTTTCTATACTTGCTTTATCACATATCTAATCCATCTATCCATTTCAGAATGAATTGCAGACATCAGTACCCTTCCTTCTAAATATTAAAGCATATATATTGTTTACTAGAGTTCAATATCTGTTTAGTTTTCTTCTTTTCATGTAAAGTTTATACACAGTGTGCTGCCCAAGTTTTATGTATATTTGTTGAGTTTTGACAAATGCATTGCAACACAGAAACTACCTTTCTATTTCTTTGCAGCCAGTTTAAAGCCATTAGCCACACATTTGCTTTAGAGGCTCAGAAGGAAGTCTCATTCAGTGAGTCACTCTTAAGTATCACAAAAATAAGCCATAGTGGTCCCAATGTTTTACATGTAATGCCAGCCTTTCTCGGTGTATGTGCAGCCAGATAGTAATAGTTTGCTGTGTGAAAAATAAAAACAAGATTTAGGTATTCAGACAGGGGACACGCTATTTAAGCAAAGTTAAATATACACCTTTACTGGCTGCTCAGAGTCGTCAGGAGCTTTTGACACATGGGTGAAACTCTGGCGACTCTAGGGAGTGGAATTTGCCAAACTTGCCAAGTAGGTAACCCTTTTCCTCGTGACATTTTAGAGCCTACTGTTTTAAGAAACCATCTTTGGGGCCCAGTACCACATATTAATATTGGTTTATTTATAAAACACTCTTAAAAGTAAACTAAAATTTTTTGATACCTTGATAATAAAGATGTTTTTGTTATTTATAGCTTTTTGAAAACTTTTACAGTGTTTCAACAGTATTTTATTTATAGCCAGTAGATTTGTTAAGATTAAATATATAGAATGCCGATAGTGAAAATAGGCCATTTATGGCCACAGTTTTGATTTTTCAGATTTCTAGAGTTCATGGCAGAACAGGAAGAAAAAAGGAATTACGTGTAAATTGCTTTCACATCTCCTCCCTTTTAAGGGAAAACTCTGTAAGTTTTTGCAACTCAATTGAAATGATTTGATATCATCAGATATTTAATAAACCTACTTGGTTGTTTTACTTTTTACTGAACCTTCTTTCTCATATCACATAGGCCTTTGGAGCTATCAGAGACCCCCAAGTTCTCTATATGGCCTCTGTGTTGTGCTCATTTTTCAGCTTACCTTTCCTATGGTTTCTTAATATAATAGTCTTTCAGGGGCACCTGGGTGGCTCAGTCATTAAGCGTCTGCCTTTGGCTCAGGTCATGGTCCCAGGGTCCTGGGATCGAGCCCGACATCGGGCTCCCTGCTCTTTGGAGAGTCTGCTTCTTGCTCTTCCTCTGCCTCTGCCCCTCTCCCCCTGCTTGTGTTCTCCCTCTCTCTGTCTCAAATAAATAAATAAAATCTTAAAAAAATATATATATATATATATAAAATAGTCTTTCAGAATCATAATTCTGAGTTTTAGAGATCAAAGAAGTCAGTGTTTCCCTAAGATAGGGATTCTTAAATTTGGGGCCCTGAGAATCTTAGGGCTTCCAAAGGTATAAAATCCCCAAATTGTATTCAGCATGGAGAGAACATTTACACTTTTTTGGAGGAGTCTGCAACTCCCCAAAAAGGAGTGTGTGTGCATGTGCGCGCGTGTCTGCTCATGATCAGAATGTCCTGCAGTTGGCTGGGGCAGGTGGCAAGGAAGAGAATCAGTAGCACCAATTTTTCCTACTGTTTGACTTGTACCGGGTTCGTTTTCACCATCCTGCCGCACAGAGAGTTGGTGCCACTACTCAGAGAGAGCGTTGCCTATTTACGATACCCCACTAAGTCACTAACCGCACAGATACAGTGCTGTGGGGCCGCTATTCAGAATGACCAAGAGTTTTGGCTTTCTGATCAGGAAGTGTAGACTCTCTTTTGTACTGTGATGAGTAAGAAAAGGACTTCTTTTTAAAAAGTTACAGGGGCCCCTGGGTGGCTCAGTTGGTTAAGCGACTGCCTTTGGCTCAGATCATGATCCCAGGGTCCTGGGATCGAACCCCACATCGGGCTCCCTGCTCTGCAGGAAGCCTGCTTCTCCCTTACCCACTCCCCCTGCTTGTGTTCCTTCTCTCACTGTCTCTCTCTCTCTGTCAAATAAATAAATAAAATCTTTTTAAAAATAAATAAATAAATAAATAAATAAATAAATAAATAAATAAATAAAAAGTTACAGACCTTTAGATGATACAAGGTAAAAACTCTCCCCAGTCAAACCCTGGGGACTTATTGCCAGGAGTGGAACAGAACTTTGCTGGTTTTCTAAGTCTCCAGTCTTCCTTCAGTGACATTTCAGTGACCTGTCTCTTCTGAAGATTGGTTGCTATTAATATCAACGTAGCAAAACAAATGGGGCTGCAGTGATGTGCTTCTGGGTTTGAGAGTTTTTGAAAACACATAAAATAACCTTTATGATTTACAAATGCTATCATTTCTTCACTTTATCTTGAGACTTATAGCATGTAAAACCTGCATTTAGAAGTCCTACCTTTAGTAATCATCAGACCCAGCTCAGGAGTTTTAATGACTTGAATTCAAATGCAGAAAAAAAAAGGAATACTTCCTTTTTTACCCTAAACTGTAAAGTATTATTTTAACAAGATGCTCTAAGCAATACTTTATTTTCAAGTATTTGAAAGGTATTTGCTATCTACTTTAAACTTCCCAAATGCAAATGAGTTTGGCTGCAAAATAATTGGAATGCTAATTATATATCGCCACCTAGGGATAATACAATCCATAAGGTTGGCAAATAAAGGAAATGTGGTTCAAACACATTTAGGTGAGAACATCTTTGGAGCTCATGCGATAATTGTTCCAAGTAACTTCCGTAGAGCCATTTGTTTAAAAAATTCACAGGAATTTTTTTTGAATAATTCAATTCCCTTTACAAAAGTAAAGCAAAGTGCTTTTTTATATGTAAATTCTATGCAATTTGATATTAAATTGATAATAATAATCATTAAAACTTGATAATAAATTCTTAAATCAAAACTCTGAGATATTCCTTCTGTTTCCTACAACAGTTGAGTTTGTATCTAGTAAAATTTTGTTTTCTTAAAATCTCAACATTACTGAGCTGCCAGTTGTGGCATGAGAAAAAAATAGAATTTTTCTTAATAAATGTTTTTTAAGTTCTTTAAAAATATTCGGGTGTGTGTGTGTGTATTATGATTTTGAAGTAGCAAAATGGCCCATAATTCTGCCATCCAGACAGCCCTGTTGACACTGGGGAAAAATTCAAAGTATACAAGAAAATGAAAAGTAACCTTTGGCCACCATGTCCCTATTCCTAAGATAACCACTATTCCACTGTGAGTTTAGTGCTTATATTTATAGAAGCAAAACCATGCATGTTTAACCAATTTGATGAGATGCCTCCATTTGTTGAGGTATAATATAACTTTGTCAGTAACTGCAACCAGCCATGCTTTTTCACACCCCTCTTTTCCTGATGGGGAGAGAATTGCCTTAAGGATACTTTTATAACTTTTTCTCAGTCTGTTTCAGAACTGTTAGCCCCTCTCAGTCACTAAAAGCATCTCATTCTGGTTATTAAAACATGGTGTTTTCCTCCCCTCACCACAGGCTTATAGAAGTGGAGGCGAGGGTTGGGAGAGGGGAATTGTCTGCTCTTTCCCAAGTACCCTCTCTTGGGAGCCAGGACACTCTTTGCTACACCTGTTGGTTATAGCTTGGTGGCCGCACTGGTTAGGTTTTTGTTTGCCTCTTTGTTTTTGGGTCTTTGTAGCTATTAGTGGCCTCCAGAGATTAGCAGTAGGAGCTATATACCCCGTCAGCTCTAACCTTACCACTAAGTATGTTAAAATGAAAGCACAAGCAGTGGACCAAATTTTGCCAAATAAACCAAGTGTACAAACATTGATCAGGAAGAAGATATACACACATACACACAAGTAGTTTCCTGTCCTGTTCTTGTGGCTCAGAGGAAACCACACTGTCCCCAGACAACCTTCCTAGGTCTTATCCATCAAACAGTAGTAGAGGGCGCCTGGGTGGCTCAGTCGTTAAGCGTCTTCCTTCGGCTCAGGTCATGATCCCAGGGTCCTGGGATCAAGTCCCACATCGGGCTCCCTGCTCAGCAGGAAGCCTGTTTCTCCCTCTCCCACTCCCCCTGCTTGTGTTCCTGCTCTCATTGTCTCTCTCTGTCAAATAAATAAAATCTTTAAAAAAAAAAAAAACACAGTAGTAGAGCCTGTACCCTCCCCCACACCTTCCACTTATCTTCGTCACTCGTTCTGCCAACAAAAAGCCACCTGCTAACATTTTTTTACTATATTTACCAGCAAATCCTCTGGTGTAGATTTTGATAAAGTTATTTGAAGGGCCAGATGCCTCTGAATGGTGATTCCTGATAAGACCACCTCAAATATAACCAGTCACCCCAGGGGTGTGATTGTGGATACTTCACATGCTTATCATAGGACTTATATTATATAGTGTTCATATGCTTATAATTCCTAATGCATAGACTAAAGTTAGATGAGATACATGCACGGGCACTGGTTATACTTAACTACTTTGAAAGTAAATTACCGCATAGACGACAAGAGATGGCTTTGTCATCAGGTAGTATGTTTAGCGTCCTAAGCTAGCAGATGACAAAACCATTATTTGGTAGGGCTGATGTCCTCTCATTACTGCTCTTTTCCTGAAATTCCCTGGCTCTTCCCTCATACTTTTCCAGCATGCTAAACTCATTTTGTCAAGTCTCACCAAAAATTACATTGCTTTAAAACGTAACTTAAATGGTGTCACATTGAATATATAGGATAATTTAGAGATAATTGAGATGTGCTTTCAAAATTTCATGTAATAAAAATCCAAATAACAAAGACATTTTCCCTGTATATCATATTTGCTTTCCTACACCCTCCCCACCCCTCCCCCACAGGCACCCTCAAAAAGAAGAAAGTTTCATTCTCTGAGTTTATGGTTGTTTTCCTGAGCTCGTTTTCCGGTGAACCTCACCTGCTTTCTGCTTTCCTGGGGCTTCCCATGTTGGTTCTCTGGAAAGAAATCTGGGGCTTTGGTTACCCTACTCTGCCAAGTATTCCCACCACTGTGCCTGTATCTAGGGCCCAATGATGGGGAGGCGAGAAAGAAGTGAAGCAGTGGGTTCACCCCACCCTCCTGGGACCACCACCTCTCCAGTCTGTGAGGAAGGGTCCCTCCCTCAGAGACTTGGCTTCTGTGAGCTCTTCTTGCCTTTATTTCTGCTGCCACTATGAGATTGCTTGTGGCCTGGAGTGTGAGAAAACAGAAGACAAGGAAACATAAAGAAAACTGAGGGGCTGTACCCACTCTCTCTGATATTAGGAGTTCCCTTTCTCATTCTTTCTTGAAACAGAACTAAAGGGCTTCTTCCAGGACTCTTCTCTTTCAGCCTCTGGTGCCCACTTTCAGGTTTGGGGCTGTTCTGAATTCAAGCCAGGGGAATACCATTGGTGAAAATATGGTAAACTCACCACTGGTTTGGTGGTGCTTCCAATCCTGGTCTTCCCCACTCTGCCTGCTACTGTTTACTGTTTAGAGTCCTCATATAGCTGCTTTGTGCATTCTCTCCAGGTCCTGGAGCTGCATGTACCAGGAGAGGCAGGGTGGAGTGTGCCTACACCATCTTCCCTGGAACCAAAACCAAAAACAACTTTTTCTGAAAAGCTGAACTGAGTCTAATGATAGAGAGTTAATAAATTATCATATAGCCATTTGATGGAATACTATGCAGCCATGATAAAGAATGAGACTACTCTGATACAGAATGTTTGTCAAGATGTATTGTCAAATAGCAAGCCACAGAACATTTGGGGAGATACATTGATAGATATGCATATTGATGCTTACATGTGCATAAAGAAATTCTAGGAATATCCAAGAATTTGGTAACCATGGTTATTTCTGAAAAGGAGGACTGGAAGGGGGAGACTGGGAAGACAGGGAGGCTGACTGATACCTCTGTGCCATTTGCATTATGGTAGATTATGGTAGATCAGGCTGCCGTACAGACACTTCAGGTAGGCCTGAGGACATATTAAGAAGTAAACCAAAGAAGGAGGTAACTGGGGTGCAGCAGGCTTTTCATTTTATGGAAATAGATGACCCTTTGAGTTGACTGCATCCTTTCTCCAGACTAAATGCTGTACTGGGCAGCAGTTCTTAGCTTCTCTGACCCCAGCAGCTGGTCTTAGGGCATAGCTCCAGGAGGAACTAGGGAGGCTCCAGGTAGCCTCAACCACACATGCCTTTTCTTTTATTCTTTGAATTTATTTGTCAGTTCCATTGTGAACTGAAGAAAAATGTAGTTGAGGGTTAATTTACCCTTTGTAGTCTGGCTCAGCCCACTTAATGTATAATAATATAATTTATAATATAAATATATGAAAATATTTACCTTTTATATATAAATTAATTCTAATATATTTAAAATGTTTAACTATAATAGTGGGGCACCTGGGTGGCTCAGTTGGTTGGGCGTCTGCCTTCGGCTCAGGTCATGATCTCAGGGTCCTGGGATCGAGTCCTGCATCAGTCTCCCTGCACAGTGGGGAGTCTGCTTCTCCCTCTCCCTCTACTGCTCCCCCCACTCCTGCTCTCTCTATCTCCCTCTCTCTCTCTCTCTCTCCCTCTCTCTCCAAAAATCTTCAAAAAAATAAAATAACTATAATAGTAATTTAATGTATAATCCCTAAATATATATTTGTGTGTGTGTGTGTGTATTTTTTAAATGTACCATTTTTAAGCATCTACCACTACCCGATCCCTTCCAAGTTATCTTAGGCACGTATTTTTATTGCCAGGCTAATTCACCTAAACAAGATTGACCTCCATGCTCCAAATGAAATGCTCTATGGACGAATGGGCTACATCTGTGCTCTTCTCTTTGTGAATAAGAACTTCGGAGTGGAAAAGATTGCTCAAAGCCATATTCAGCAGGTACCACATTTCTGTGCTTTTTGGAGTCCTGTTAGGATCCCAGTTGTTAACTGCCTGAACTCTTGGTTTTGTTTCTCCAATTAGCATACCCCGGGTAGAAGGAAGGTGTGTGTTGGCCTCTAAAGGTCAGGTGGGGTCAGAGAGCTGACAGCATCACGCTGAGTGCATTGGAAACATTTAGAGAGCGACTGGGAACTAGACGTCCAGCCTGCTCCGTTTGAGAGTGTCACGGCCCTTCGGAAGATGAGGGCCAGATTTCACCTCCCGGGTGCAGGTGTCTCCTTTCGTGCCTGAAGAACTCATGCTTTCCTCTGTCACGTGAATTCGCATAAGCTCTAGTGAAGAGTTTAGAATTTCCGTATCTCCCTCTTTTAGGCAGAATACAGTCACCCCTGCTTCCTGAGCGTGGAATTAAACTGTGCCCGTCCGTGGCCAGAAGACCCTGTCTGACTCACCGTGTTCTCCATACCTCTTAGCAAAAAATTCCTTATGGGAAGATTCTTATTTTGATTCTCTCATTATTTTGATCGGTTTTCTCCCTGTAGATTTGTGAAACAGTCTTAACCTCTGGAGAGACCCTCGCCAGAAAGAGAAACTTCACAGCAAAGACTCCACTGATGTATGAATGGTACCAAGAATATTATGTGGGGGCTGCTCATGGCCTGGCAGGAATTTATTACTACCTGATGCAGGTAAGAGGTGAAGGTGGTGGAACCGAGAACTGTGCTTGCTGACTGCCCGGGCCAGGGCGAGAAGACCGAGGCTCCCCCTCTGGCTTTTCATTCTGTCAACCAACTGCCTCACTCTCCTTGCCATTTCCTGGCCTCGATAAACAAGGGCAATGTTTGCCAGAGTGCATTTTACAGTGTATAAACATAAAAGGCGCTGTGCCGTGGGATGCTGTCTGGTTTGTAGGTGACCCGTACTTGCCTGCTTCGTGCCGCTTTGCAGACTGAAGTGTTTTGACCTATACTTCTATATGAAGTGCTTTCTGCTCTGCTCTGCTCTTTCAGCAAATGCCTTGAATTAATATTTTTGCATAGTATTAGACACCACCCACTGAAACAAATTCCAGAAGTAAGAACAAAATCAATAGAAAACAAATGAGCATATGTTGCCTACGGCTCACTTGGAGAGCAAAGCCACAGAGCCTTTTCAATGGATTTTGTGTAACTTACCTGAAAAATAGCTGAATGCGCTATGCCCAGCCATTCTTTGGATCTAATACTATTGGGAGACATCAGCCAAAGTCAAATAGACTAAGGAGAAGTAGGATTTACTGCAGCAAGCATAACCTGGAAGGGGAAGTCAGAAGAGGACTTCTCATGAGAGCATCATTTCTGGGGGCTTATTTGCTCTCTTTAAAGAGAAATTGGCACTTGTGAATAAGAATTCATAGCAAAAGAAAATTGATTTTTAATGGCAGCAGAGGTGCCCCCCTCACCTTCCCAAAGTACAACGCAGCATAAAGAAAAGTGTTTCATTAATATGTTCAACATGAGTGCTCGGATATACATACTATTAGCTGGTTGAGTAGCTGGCTGCAATAATGCAAAATCAATGTCAGACCTTCCGTCTCCCTATAACTAAACAATGACAACGAAGCTGAAAAACTCAAGGTTATTATTGCTTGTGAATGCAAAGTCACACTTTGAGTGTTATAGTGGCAGTAAGAGACCAACTTTTGTATTTGTTCTGCCCTTCTCAATTAGGAGTTTTAAAATGAGGGGTTTTGATGGTTCAGACTTAGACTCCTTTATTTTTCTGGCATCAACCTCCATGGCTCTGTATTTCCAGAAGTAAATATATATCCTTAAGTTTTCAGGAAGGAGAGTTCATGTATTGCACAGTTTTGGGGTGAGTTAGAGTCATCTTACTTCCAGCTGTCTCCTTTTGGTGGCAGTGAGAAATCTGGAAACCTACGTTCGGAGTTTTCCATTGGCAGATTATTGTCTATTTGAAATGATTTAACTTTTATTTATTTACTTAAGATTTTATTTATTTATTTGACAGAGAGAGAGACACAGCAAGAGAGGGAACACAAGCAGGGGGAGTAGGAGAGGGAGAAGCAGGCTTCCTGTGGAGCAGGGAGCCTGATATGGGGCTCGATCCCAGGACCCTGGGATCATGACCTGAGCTGAAGGCAGACACTTAACGACTGAGCCACCCAGGTGCCCCGAAATGATTTAACTTTTAATACTGAAAGTCCATTCCAGTAGGTACTTACGTATCATAAACATAAATAAAAATATTAAACATATAATATTATATTTTATCATAATATCATAAACATAAAACAAAATATTATTTGTAGCCCATTTTGGATAATTCCTGCAAATTTGAGGAAAATCCACTCCTTCTACTCTAGCATTTTAAACTGAGCTGGAACAATATTCTCTGGGTAGAGTGAAATCTATATATGCCCTCAAGAACTTAGTGCACATTCAGTACCTGTGCATCACAACACGGGCTATCTCCTTACCCACATGCCCACCCCCCCGCCTGACAACGACAACACTTTGAATTTGTTATTTGAAGAAGTCGATAGTGCATTGAATTAAGAACAGGACCAAAAGGAGAAACTAAACCATTATATCAAAAATGGAGGCTCAGGGCGCCTGGGTGGCTCAGTTGGTTGAGTGTCCAGACTCTTGCTTTCGACTCAGATCATGATCTCATGTTGGGCTCTGTGCTCAGCGGGGAGTCTGCTTGAGATTCTCTCTCCCTCTCCCTCTCCCCCTCCCCCCCGTACTTGCTCTCATTATCTCTCTCTCTCTAAAATAAATAAATAAATCTTTAAAAAAAAGAAGGCCAAATTCTTTAAAAAAAAAAAAAGTGGCTCAAATGCCCTATGTTAGTGCATCCTATAAATCTGTACATCATTGTATCAAAATAATACTGCATAAATGTGAGTCCCAAATCCTCTGCAGAAGGCTTAATCTAGAGTCACACAGCAGTTTGGGATCTAGATTCCAGGTCTCCTGACTTGTTAGCTTCCTCTTTTTTTGGAAACATCTACCACTTCTCTAAATGTAAAAATGAAAGTTGCACTTACATTGTCTAATGCATCTCTTTGTGGCCTTTAAAGTATGAATAAGGTATTGGGCCATCTGGGTGGCTCAGTTGGTTAAGCGTCCAACTCTTGATCTCAGCTCAGTTCTTGATCGTGAGGTCAAGTCCTGCATTGGGCTCCATGCTGGGTGTGGAGCCTCCTGACAATAAAAATAAAGTATGCCTAAGGTATTAAAACCTTAAGAAACATCTCTTGTGTTCGTGCATTGACTTAGGAAAATTATTTATATATATGTATACAATGATAAATATTGAAAAAAAGTATGTACATAAAGTCCCAAGAGTTAAGGGATAGCCTGATTTTAGTATGTTCCAGTAGGTTAAAAAAAATTGGGATGGAATCCAAACCGTCAGTGACTTCTAGTTCCTTTTGGTCATGTTTCATTTCTGGCTTAAAACTAATCCCCAGGGCACCTGGGTGGCTTAGTTGATTAAGCATCCGATTCTTGATATTAGCTCAGGTCATGATCTCAGGGTCGTGTCATGAATCAAGCCCTGCGTCAGGCTCCACGCTGGGTTGGAGTCTGCTTAGGATTAATTCTCTCTCTCCCTCTGTCTCTCCCACCCCATCTCTGTCTCCTTCCCTTTAAAACACACACAAAACTTATCCCCGAGGTTTAGGAGGATCTGTTTGCTTTAGCAGAACTAATAATTCCCTTTCTCATTTTTAGCCCAGCCTTCAAGTGAACCATGTGAAGTTACAAAGTTTGGTCAAGCCCAGTGTAGATTATGTCTGCCAGCTGAAATTTCCTTCTGGCAATTATCCTCCGTGTGTGGATGATAATCGAGATCTTCTAGTCCATTGGTGTCACGGTGCACCTGGAGTGATCTACATGCTCATCCAGGCCTATAAGGTACTGTGAATTTTCTCATTTTCAAAATAATTTGGAAAATGTAACCTAACACTCCATAACTTACAATTGTTTTTATGCATAATCTTTGAAGAAGCAGTAGAGAAATTACTATTGGATGTACAATCACTTTGCTACATGGATTATAATTCATTCTCACAGTATCCATCTATATCAGAGCAGAGACTATTTCATCAGTCAGGAGACTGCTTCACTGACAGGTAGAATAGCCAAGATTATAGCGTCAGTGGCAGAGCCAAGAGAAGTATCCCAGAAATTCAGTTAAAAATAGAATCTTTCTTGGACACGTGGGTGTTAAGTTGGTTAAGGGTCTAACTTGATTTCGGCTCAGGTCATGATCTCAGGGTTGTGAGATGGAGCCTGCTTAAGATTCTGCACCCCCCCACCGAAAAAAAGAAAAAAAAACACTGTATAGGGGCACCTGGGTGGTACAGTTGGTTACGTGTCCAGCTCTTGGTTTCAGCTCAGGTCATGATCTCAGATGATTTAAGAGCCCCACACCGGACTCCACACTCGGTGCAGAGTCTGCTTAAGTTTCTCTCTTCCTCTCCTTCTACTCCTCCCCGCCACACTTTCTCTCTCACTCTTTTTCTCTCTCTCAAATAAATAAATACATCTTTAAAAAAAAAATAGAATCTTTCTTGTGCATTGCTGGTAGGATTGTAAAATGGTGTGGCTGCCATAGAAGAGAGTTTGGTAGTTCCTGAAAAAATTAAACATAGAATTAATATATCACTCAGTAATTCAACTCCTAGGTATATACACCCGAAAGATTAAACACAAGGATTCATACAGATTCTTGTACACAAATGTTCCACAACAGCATTATTCACAATAGCCAAAAGGTGGAAACAGTTCAAGTGTCCATGCACAGATGAATGGATAGACAAAATGTGCTGTGTGTATGTATACATACATACAATGGAATATTATTGAGCCATATGAAAGAATGAACTTCTGATCCATACTGCAACATGCATGAACCTTGGAAATATTATGCTAAGTGAAATAAGCCAGATGCTAAAGGACAAATCATGTATGATTCCATTTGTATGGTGTGATGGTTAGTATGAGGTATGTAGAGTAGGCAAATTCATACAGAAAGAAAGTAGAATAGAAGTATCAGGGAGTGGTGCTGGGGTGGGAGTGCATTATCACTTAATGGGTACAGACCTTGTTTGGGGTGATGAAAATGATTGGGCAATAGTGGTAATGATTATACAACTTTGTGAAGGTAATGAATGCCACTGAATTATGATTCAAATGATTAAAATTGTAATTTTTATATTTTCTTTATTTTACTATAATAAAAGAAATGCAGATACCATTTCTAAAAAGCATGCTATGGCAGAGCCATAATCAGAGAAGAAAGGGGTTTTATTTGAAAGAGAAAAAAAATAGAAGTAAACCAAGATATCTGTGTCCATTGGTGCCAAATCTACAAATTACAAATCTATGGACTATAAATAAGCATTGGCATCTCATATTCTAAATAAGCTTTTAGTATGTCAAATTTTACTTGCAGAAAGTTGGGAAGCAAGAGAAAAACTTTTAAACTGCCTTATCCTACTTTTAAGAACACTTAGTTTGCAGTGAAATATTAGAAATGTCTACTCAGAATATTTCTTGAGTCTTTGATCAATATATAGAAGATTTTAGGGGTGTATCTCTATTTTTCTGACAAAGTATAGTGTTTTATAATCAAATCCGTTTTTGTAATCAATTTTCTAAACAGTTTCTTCTCCAGTATGTGAAGAAATGTCCTAATAGTGAAGGGCATTATTGTTAACCAAAGACGATAGCGTGTGGTCCTTGGGAAAGTGACTACTGCCAACAGCAAGTCACAAGTAAAATAATGCTGCTTCTCCAGTAACACCTGCATCCGTAAGCAGAGTGCACATAAAATGTAGATGGCACACAGGCAAGGTCGTGGGCAGTTATTTAAAAGCAAAAAAAGCAAAGCTAGTCAACTTCTGTAATCCGTCCCCGTCGACACGACCCATCTCCCTGGCTCTAAATCCCTGACCCTTCCTTGCCAAGCTACCTCCATCTCACCTCCCTCTGCCCTCTCCCCTCCTTTCCCATCAGGAAGGAATGTCCGTAGGAGTTTCTTTTATATCTCTTGTAATAAGACTTGCCCTTGGCTCTGCAGGTGTTCCGAGAGGAACAGTACCTCAGCGACGCCTACCAGTGTGCTGATGTGATCTGGCAGTATGGATTGCTGAGGAAGGGGTACGGGTTGTGCCACGGCACTGCGGGGAATGCCTATGCCTTCCTCACGCTCTATAACCTCACGCAGGACAAGAAGTACCTGTACAGGGCCTGTAAGGTAGGCATCACAGCTGTCGGAAAGAAAACACCTTCCCCCTGGGAGACTGGAGAAAGGGCTCTAGTTCAATCTGATTTGATTCATTTATCTTTTGAACCATGAGTGTGTGGAACAAATCCAGTTATGTAAGAAAAGCCTTCAAAAACCATTCAATTAAATTTGCCTTCTTGTATAAGGACATAGTTCTACTCAACAGCATTTATCGGCGGGACAAAAGAAAGAAATTCTGCTTTGATAACCTGGGAGACAGTGGCTCAGACAGCTCCTAAACTTCCTCCCTCCCGTGCTTCATCCTCTCTTTCAGACCATCTGTTTCTCTGTATCAACCCCTTTCTTCTGCCTTGAAGATAGTTTTTGACTTTTCAGGGTAATTCTTAGGGATAATTTCTATCCACTTTTGAGGGTCTCTGGAAGAAGTCGCTACAGTAATTTACCTTGGTCTCACTTTCAGTTTGCTGAGTGGTGCTTAGATTACGGAGAACACGGTTGCAGAACGCCGGACACCCCCTTCTCCCTCTTCGAAGGTATTTTCCACATGTTTACTTAGTTGCCTTGTAACGTCAGCATCTGCTTCTCTGCTTGGTAATCAGTGTATTTGAATTTGAGCTTTATCAACAAATTAATTTTATAGTCATTTCTTGAACTACTTCTTTACTTCCTACTATGAAAACTCAATATTAAAAATCAGGTAGTACATGGACTCTCTCAGACCTAATCATAGTGGTCCTACTGGTGACACTATCTATGGAGCCAAGCACATGCTTGGCATTTTGCAGATGCCGTCATAAATCATCTCCGCGAAAACATACACGCGTCATTATCCTCATCTCACCAATGAGGACCTCAGGTAAGTGGCCCATGGTGCCATGTGAAGGAGCTGACGTGATAAATGGCAGGGCTGTGCCTTGAACTTCTCAGGTTCAATTCTCCTTCCTGTCTTCCGCCCAGATGAAGAGACTGAGCACCTCACTAGTGATCTCCTCTAGTGTTGACCAGCGACATGGATAAATACGGGCAGACGCCCCTTGCATGGAAGCTCTTGCCATTTGTATCATGATGTTGTTGATGCTACAGAACGAAGCCACTGTATAAAACAGAGTCATTTGGCATAATAACTTCTGCCTCTTTTTCTTCCTTCAGGAATGGCTGGCACAATCTATTTCCTGGCTGACCTCCTAGTGCCCACAAAAGCCAAGTTCCCTGCGTTTGAACTATAAAAGGAAAGCCTGCCCCCTGCAATGCGCTGCATGACCCTTTCTGTATATCAGACCTGGACTAAGTGCTTTCATTGCTTTTCAAGGAAACGTAGAGTCAAACTGTGTACTCCATTGAGTTGAGTTGTTGTTGTTTTTCAGAACTTGTCTTTGGTTCCTTTTGTTTATCATTTACTTTTACTTAAAAGTATCCAAGGAAATCTTTTAACTTTAACCTCAATTTCTTCCTAAAGGTAGGATGAGTGATATATACAGTGTTTTGAGGGCATAGGTATATATATTTTTCAGAACTTGGAGGAAATCTCTTACTTAAGCTTATGAATATATAACTATCTGTTGCTGTTGTAAAAATGTTGAAAGGAAACTAAATGTAGATAAATACGTGGTTATTGGTGGATATTGCCCTCCACCTTTATAGTATTTTTCCTCCAATAGGGCAGACAGTTTTATGACTGTTTTTCTTTAGGTGGTTGAGCTTTGCGCAGTGGCAGTATCGGAGCCAATGAGGTTTATCTGAGGCGCGATTATTGCTAATTGAAAATCTTTAGGTGGTTGATTGTGAAGGGGGACAAAAATATTAACCATATGCTTCTGAGACAAAAGTTGCACAAGTTGCAGCCTTGGTTTAAGGACCGAAATACCGCTTTTCAAATTCACAGTGCTGGTTTAACTAGAGATAAAGATACTTTCAGATTTGCTTCCTCTTGGTAGTAAAGCATCCGGGCTCTATAAGCCAGCATTTTTATCAAAAAGTTCTAAAATGCAATGGTGGTTTTGAAAATTCTGATTTGAGGGTTAGTTTCAAGATAAGCTAACAAAAAGTTTATTGTTTCTTCTAAAATAAGCGAGTGCATTTTTGAACGATTTATTTAAATTTGTTTGTTCTTTGGAATTAGTATAAGATCAGGAGATGAGTTTTCTGTATATGAATGTGTTGTGACTTCGGATTTGAGTCCATCCTGTCCACCGACCTTCTGAACTTTGACTTGTGTTTTACTTCCTTGGCAGTGACTGTACTTTAGTGCTCATTCTTTGGTACAAGCCATAAGATATTTTCCTTCCTTTCAATCCATCTGGATGTTTGTCTTTTTACTAAATAGTACAGTACTCTACATCTCTTTAAAAGGGGGGAGGAGGGCTATGTAGCCAATAACTTGAACAAAAACACTAAGCTTTCCACAGAAATGCTATTTATTTAGGAGTTATTAGCCAGTGAAAATGTTTAGAACAAATAGATCCTATCTCTTTGCATATCCTAGGCTTAACTTAAATTCCTCAATTTCTGAGCCCTCGGGATCAGGATCCTATATTTGTATGGTAGATGAAGGATCCCTGGTGCTTCACATTCTGTATAAATGTTCCAACTCATCAGCTTCCCCTCCCCTTCCTTCCTTCACTGCCTTTCCCAGGCTGGTTTCATCCTTTCTGTATGTTTTGACTGATTTTAGAACATTCTGCAGCTTTACAAAACAGGGTCTAAGAATTTTAAGTGTGCCTATTTCATGGCTTTCTCAGTCACAAAAGCGTGCTATTTTTATTTTAACTTTGAACCAAATCCCACTGGGTATATGTTGGTTCCTGTGGATAGTAGTCCCCTATTATTTCACATTTGGCACCAAAACAGCTTATATTATTGGAAATTGTCGGACCCTTGAAAGGCTACCGACAGAAGGATCTAAAAAAACAGCCCACTGCTCAGTTCCTAGGATTGGCTTATTCCTCTGTGACTTGTGCCAGTTGGGCAAACCTTGTGCCTCTCAGATGTCTAAGTGCTGCAGGTGAGCTGTGCCTTTCTCCCAGGCCGTTCCCATGAGCCGCGGTGGCATTTATAGTAAAGCTAATTTGCCTGGGGCTGGGTGTCCAACTTGAAAGAATAAAACCCACTTAGTTTAGTTAAATGTCTTACTAGACTGTGCCTGCACTTTTAGCTACTATAATTACTAACCAAGGGAAAGAGAGCAAAACACACTTTCTCTTAGCCAGAGGAAACTTAATCACGGTACATCTCCAAACATCTTGATTAATTTAACCCCGGGAAGACTTCAAGGCAGGGAGAAGAACATTTTGAATAAGATTCTTGTTAATATTTAGATTGCAGTTAGGGGCGCCTGGGTGGCTCAGTCATTAAGCATTTGCCTTTGGCCCAGGTAATGATCCCAGGGTCCTGGAATCGAGCCCCGCACTGGGCTCCCTCGTCAGCGGGGAGCCTGCTTCTCCCTCTCCCTCTGCCTCATGCTCTGCCTACTTGTGCTCTCTTTCTATCTCTCTGTCAGGTAAATAAATAGGATATTTTTTAAAAAATATATTTAGATTGCAATTTAACTACTGCCACCCATCCATTAACAAATTTATCAATACAAACACAATTCAGGTCTCATTTTTTTCTTTAGCTTTTTAGGACTTATAAAACTGGCAGGATTTTCTGTTCCTGCCATTGTTGGTTTTCTTTATGGTTAAGAGGTAAGAAAATTTGATAGGATTTTAAAATCAAGCAAAAGCTATAAAAGTAAGACCAATGCCCTAATACCATTGTGGAAACGGAGAAGCTTTTATACCAGCTTTCTTAGTTTTAAAAGGAAGAGGCATCATTGCAGTTCTATTTCTGTTACATCCTTTCCCTCAGATATTTTCATCTTTTTTTTTATTATAAAAAAAAAACTTCGCAAAAGTTGCTTCCCAAAAAACCCCACAGTATCTCTTCTCTCCCCATGCCGAGACTTGGGAGTAGAATCTTAAAAGCTTCCTGAGCAGCGTTCATCTAGCCTGTCATGTGTTTCTGTCCCCATAGTGAGGAGACATTACAGAAGCTAACTCTTCGCCATGGAAAACATGGGAATGTTATCATGGCCACTTCCGTCTAGCCCACTGGGCTTTGGTCTTTCATCCTTAGAGTCACTGGTCTCCTTTTCATCTTTGATGTCAGTTCTGATTATTTGGCATCAAAGCCTTCGTGGTAGGAAGAGTTTGAGGTAAGTGGATCCAAGACCACTTTGCTTCTCATTTCCACTTCCCTACATAACTGAATTGAGAGACATACTCTGCTCCTACGTCCGTGGGTTCATTTGTGTCTGATCTTCCAGTGCCCTGCATTCTGCTGGCTGATCTAAAATACAGAACGTGAAGAGTGAACATTTACTCATCTACTTCTTTGGCTGCTGGAATTCATCTGCAGTCCTTTATTACTCATACTGATTTCTGATTCCACTTCTGCTTTCCCTAAATAGGTCGGAGCATCCTATTTGCCTATTGCTGAGTTGTAGAACTTTCTCTCCTGTAGGTGTAAAACAGAGTGTTTGCGATATTCAGGGATATTCACCCCAACATTATATTGCCATTTACTGGGAAGGGTTGGGATCATAAGTATTTCTGTGTTCTGTAAAGGATTTCACTACTGGTTCTCAATAAAATTTTATTAGGACTGTATGTGTCAGGTGCTTTCTGTTTGCTTTGGTTTAAACTTAAATATTTTCCTGGGGCGCCTGGGTGGCTCAGTTGGTTCGGCAACTGCCTTCGGCTCAGGTCATGATCCTGGAGTCCCAGGATCGAGTCCCGCATCGGGCTCCCTGCTCAGCGGAGAGTCTGCTTCTCCCTCTGACCCTCCTCCCTCTCGCGCTCTCTCATTCTCTCTCTCTCTCAAATAAATAAATAAAATCTTCAAAAAAAAATATTTTCCTTATATGGTAAAGGGGGGCTTTTTCTCCATACACTCATTCCCTAGGGTTTGTTCCTGACTTTTTCTTCATTGTCTTGTCAAACAAGATCTGCGGTACTTTCTGAAAATGGATTTAGAGGGAAATATTTTTAAATCTGATTATGATGGAATTAGGAGGAGTCTAGTAGGATCCAAACAAGTGAGTTAACCATCTCATACATATGAGAATCCACCCTGTGGTTAATGACTAAAGACCTAGCTCTAGAAATTGATTTCCCTGCTGACCACTTCTGAAAGGAACTTTGAATAGAGGAAGAGATTAAATGAGGCATAATTATAAAATGTATATTCAGAGGTTGGACAGGAGTTCTGCTGAATCACCTGGCAGGACTTATGCCCATGCCTCAAGCTGTGTGGTGTCACTTAGCACAACAGAGATTTGCCAAATTATAAAATACTTGTTTTCATCCCTGAATTAGATTTTGTCCTCTGGTACATATGATTAAAATGCCCTTCATACCCCTAGTCTAGTGTTTGAATGACTCATGACAGTAAGGATAAATGCACAGTTGGGTTTATTTCATTCCTTTGAGCGAATGAATGTGTAGATGGTGATAATCACATCTTTAGATGCGGGCAGTGAGGCATGGAGAGGACAGTGCCTCACCGAGGCCTCCCAGAGACTCCAAAGTGATGCCTGGAGCATTCGCACTAACTCGCCACAAGATTACATTGCCGTGCAGAAGGCCAGCCAGCGCGGTTCTCCGCTTTACGCTCCCTGGCTCATCCTCCAAAAGGAAGGAGAACAATGACAAGCACATTAAATTGCACCACAGTTGTGAGCTCATGAACAAACAAAACTTGAAGAACTAATTTGTCCCCTGCGACTTTCCCACAGTAGTTTGATTTATTTTTTCCTAACTCTGAATTAGAAAAGAACTTGGCCTCCCTCCTCCTTATACTCTCTGACTTAGAATAAGAATTTTTTTTGTGTCATTTATTTTTCCCTCGATCATTCCCACTATGGACTCCGTGTCATTAAAAGTTTCATGTATTCTCTGTAAGCATCACTGAAACAGAAAAACCTACAAGTCAGTCCCCTGATAATTTGCTCTCTCATTGTTTCCCATCCACACTTGCCCTTTTCCTTCTAAAGCTGAGGGTCAATTAACAAAGCAAGAGAACATTGGCTTTTTTACGATGGAGAACATATTGGCTTCATTGGTCCCATTATGTAAACTATTGAAACACAATTTTCCAGAAGCCCTGTGCTTGTGCATCCTCGGGGACTTATTTGACAGTTTTGTGAGTAATGGGAGAAAGCAGCAAACAATAAACCAAGAGGTAAAATAATGAGAATAGAGAAATGGATCTTAGCAGGACCACTGTTCATAATCGCCCAGTTTGATTTCACATTTTGACATTACGTTAACTTCTCAGGCACATGCAAATGACAACCATGGTGACATTAAATCTGCAGCTAATGTTTTATCCTCTACAAATACGTGTTAGAGAAAGCATTTGTGAGGCCCTTAGTCATTATGCAGGGAAAGGTAGGACTCTTGATAAATCCGTTTATAAAATAGTGCCACAGTTGCTTATTTTCTCTTCTCTGATGGAGCTGGGATAGTAAGAAAGGCATCTGTAACCCCGAAAATACTGATGTGGTTCACTGTGAAAGTTGATGGTCAATATCGATCTCTCGAGACTTAGCACTGAGGGATTAACATGGGTACTGCCTTCCTGGTTTAATCCAAACTGGTAGCACTGTTGCTATACTGGAAACATGCCATTTCATTTAAACATTCCATGAGCAATGCTTTAAAACCGTGTTATCCCCCAGCTGGACTAAATGTCACTGTCTGCACGCAAGTTGCCTGGCAGGGGCTTTCTTTGTGCATGGGATAGGGACCCCTACTCTGACGACTCAGTCGGGTGAGGAAGACCAGTGATGAGGCAAGCAATTACAAGGAAATGTATTCGAATATTCCTGTT